AAAACCTCTTGTGCTGGGTGATGGTACATTGTGGCATTTACACAAGTTCTTACAATATATCAAATATACTTGAATTCACCCCCTCCATCATTCTTCTTTATCTCCCCACCCCCATTCCTGGAATAGTTTCAACAGGTATCATTTTCCCATTTACGTATACATGTGTACACAGTATTTGCGACATACTCACTCTCCTATACCCTTTCCTCATACACTGGTACTAACAACCCTCCATCCCTGTAGAATCTGTTCTGCCCTCCTATTCTCCAATTTTGTAAAAGCAAAAAAAAAATGATATTTTTGCTTGTTTAAGATAGCTACACAGGGAGTTTCCTTGTGACACTTTCATGTATATTTGTATTATAGCCCAATTCGGTTCATCTCCTCTCTTTTTCTTTTTTACTACCATAGTCTCTTTCTTATGGTGGTTTCAGCCAGTTTAAAAATTCTATATTGATTCTTGTACAGAGCGTACATCAGCCATATTCATCTTCTTAACTTCTTTCTTTTACCCTCTCCCTCTCATATGTGACCTCCCCTTAGCATGACCTGTTTTTCATAATATTGCTGTATTTGTATTAGGTCTATATTTCACATATGAGAGAAAGCATGTGGTTTTTGGCTTTTTGAACCTGGCTAACTTCACTTAAGATGATGTTCTCTAGTTCTATCCATTTACCTGTAGATGACAAAATTTCATTCTTCTTTGTGGCTGCACAAATTTCCATTGTATGTGAATACCACATTTTCTTAATCCATTCATCAGTTGTGGGGCATCTGCAACCTACTCTTGTGACTTAACTGGTTTGTTGTGTAGTGTTGGGTTTAATTCCATTTGGATCTTATCGTTTAATTTCCTGTAGTTTCTTTGGCTGTGAATAGTGTGTTTTGGTGTCAGAAAGCCCTAGGGAACTGCTTTCTCTGTCTCATAAGAGTAGGGGTCCTCTGATAGTTGAGGCAGGTATGATGGAGATAGTATAAAATGCAGAGTGCATCCTCTGTGGTTACTCCTCCAATCTGGTCAGGAGTATGTTATCTGATAGGGTATGGGAGTGACCTGTGCTGATGGCCCCTCATAAGTGTAGTGTCTATAATCTTTCCACAACCTTTGTGGTGTTTCTCTCTTGCTGTTGCTACAGGGGTGAATGCCTACAAACTGGTCTTTAATTACCTAACTCCAGATGTGTTTACATGGGACCAGGTTATCAGCTTGGGACTTTTATGTTCCCTATTATTTAATTTGAAGCATCCACCAAGATTCAAGAAGGACTGAGACATGGGGGAGTAAAATAATAGTTTCTTTCAGCTAGGCTTGGGCATGTAGCTCAGCAGCAAAGTGTTCACCCAACCTGCTCAGAGTGTTGGTCTCAATCCCCAGCACAACATAGAAAGAGGAAGGCAAACAGCAATGACAAATAAAAGGAAACCAGGTAAAGAAACAGCAACCACAGCACTAAAAATAACCGAAAAGCACAAAAAAAAGAGAAAAAAACTAAAAAACTTCAATTAATTTTAAAAAGGAGAAAAGGAAAAAGATTAAAAAAAGGGGAGGGGGAGAAAAAAGAAAGGAAGAAAAGGAAAAGGGGGAAAGCAAAAGTAATATGAAAAGTGAAAGAAAGGAAAAGGGAAAGAAAATTTAAAAATAAAAAAAGTTAAAAGGAACAAGAGAGAAAAATATATGTACACACAAGGAAAATGGCATTAAATAAAAAAAATAAATAAAAATTTTCTCTCTGTCCAAGTGGCTGACCACTCAGGCAAGAGTAGATGTTTACAATCTACACTGATCAGAGCTTCCTGCTATGTCTTCTTAGCCTCCAGACCCTCCAGACCCCTCAAAGCAAAAGCTTGGGGGTTATTCACTTCTGTTTTTCTTGGTTTGTTTTGTCTGACAGGCGGCCAGCAAGAGTGGTCTGTAGCCAAGTCAGTTGAAATATCTCTCTGCTGCCCGGAATACCAGGGGGAAACCTACTTAATAGTTTCACCTCTCCTCTCCAAGGATTTACTCTGGAGCTATTTGTTTTGTACACTTCAAGGGCAGGGCTGATACTGTTCACTAATGCAGCTCCCCGGATCTTTTTGTGCTATCCAAAGAGGAAAGAGAGAATCTGTAGGGTTGCAACTATCTGCTGGAGGGTTCGGGTCGGGGGTTGGACAGTGGCGTGTTCTGCACAATCCACCACTTGTGACTCTGGCATTCCACGACTCAACTCCCATGCTATATCACAGGAGTTCTATACCCAAGAAAGCCTTCTGGTAACTTCCTGAGCTGCCAGTCTTCAAGGGGAAGGAACCTCTGTTTTATGCTTCATAGACTGCCCACTGCATAAAGCTCTCAGTGGGTTTTTCAGTGGCGTTCTCTCAGGGAGAAAATGGAGCTCAAGATAGATGCACACTGAGTCAGCACAGTGATAATGCTGCTGGCTCCTGGACATGGGAATCTATAGTGGATTTGATTCCTGGAGTGGCAAGATCAGAAAAGTCCTTCTCAAAATAGCTCACCACCTCAGCAGTGGTAGCCTTCACTGGGAAGTACAGAGAACCTCTTCAGAGCCATATTGGTATACAGATCACATGTTTGTTCTTTCGACTGCACTTCTGCACAGAGAAGTATTCTGATCAGTTTTCTCCCTCTTTATCTCCACTGTTGGCCTCTCCCATGCTGCCTCTGGATTTGCACTGGGATGCTCTTTCTCATTCTCTGTTCTCCTGTCCAAGGTTTCTGGGCTATTCCAGGTTTCTGTCCACTATTGACCTTCAGCATTCTCTGGAGGTTACCTACCTCTATAAGCAGCTGCTCTCCACCTTTTTAATTCTCTGTCATGGAGAAGTATGGAGTATTAGGTGCCTCTCATCTGCCATGTTGGTAATGTCTCAAAGTCTTTTTTTCCCTTTCTTTCTCTCTTTGCATGTTCTCCAAACCATTGTAGCATCCATTCCCTTGGCTTCTGCTTCTGTCTGTAACTCTGAAAGTTGTTCCCTGTATCCCTGATCTTTCTCCTGAACCCCAGACTTTTAGATTTAACTCTCTGGGAGTTGATGTCTAAAATTGGACCTCCTTTTTCCAGTTTTCCTTATTTGAATTAATAGCATCTTGTTCTTTTGGAGCCACAACCCTTTGAAGAATGGTAATTGTTTCTTCATATTCCTTTTAAGCTATGCCCTTCAAAAATATTCAGCTTGTCAGTTATATCTAAAATATTTCAAACCTATTAGTTTTTTATTTCCCACTTTGATTTTGGTCCTTTTCCATTCCTGTTCTTGCTTGCTGCTTCTTTAAATCGCGCTTCAAACTTGAAGGCTCTTCTAAGTAGACTTAATTTCAGCCATTTTTTACCAGTGTATCTTGTGAAACTATGCAAAACACTTTGAGCATTTCTTAGAATTTAGTAGGTGTTCAGTAAATGTTAACTATTTTAATGTTGAATGACAATGATTTTTAATACAGCTGTATCCTACTTGATGTGAATACCTCAGAAATAAACATCATTGTATGTATTCATTTTTGTGTTCCCAGTATCTTGTATCACGTATCCCTGACACAGGGCACTTAGTAAATGTTTTAGTAAGCAAAAGAGTGATGGACATAAAGAGTTTCAGATGGTTTTGAGGTTTGTTCTTGGGTGCAAACCTGCTTGACTCTTGAAGGAGGTATATCAAAAGAAGCTTTACTTTTATGGCAAGAGAGCAGGTAAGGACTAAGAGGAGGCAGTGACTTATTATGATTTTGGGTATGCTGAGTTTGAGGTATTTTATGACATTCTAGAAGATTTCTAGAAAGTAAAGGACTGCTATATAGAAGGGAAGCAGATCAAAGATAAATCTGGGCTTCCCATTTATCCCAGAAAACTCAGTTCTCTAATTGGCAATGCCCCCTGTATTTCTGAATAATATAAAACAGAGCTTCTCAACTGTGTAGGTGATACAGTGAGTTACTATGTCTAAGGTATTGGTCCTCTCAGCCTGTGGGGCAAGTCTGGATTCTGTTCTGCCTAGCCCCTGGGCTTCTCACCACTTGTCTTCCCCCACCCCCGAGTTGTGTTACACTGTGATGGCTAATCTTAATGGTCAGCTTGGTTGAATTGAGTAATGCCCAGGAATCTGTAAAGTATACTTCTGGGTGATGTCTGTGATTTTGTTTCCAGAGATGATTAGATCATGAGGGCTTTGATCTAATGAGTAGATTAATCCCTTGAAGGATTAAGAATATTTGTAATATTGGATTTGATGAAAGGTAAGCTGTGGCCTAGTTGGAGGTCACTGCAGGTATGGCCTTGCTCTGGCCTCTTCCTGTATTCCTTCTTTTTCTGTTTCCTATCTATCATGAGGTGACTAGATCTTCTCTGCTGTATACTTCCACCACCATAATATTCTGCCTGAGTGCTTGCAACCAAACGACCATAGACTGAATCCTCTGAAACTGTGAGCAAAAATAAGCCCTTTTTCCCTGAGGTTGTTTCTGTTAGTTATCTTGTCACAGCAATGAGAAAGGTAACTAAGACATACAGAAATACCCTTTTCTCTGTGTGTTGTGGTATCAAAAGTCCTGACCTATAAGCTGATTTGCTTGTAATCATTCATTGTAAGCAGAGTAATTTAACAGGTGATAGTTTCAGAAAGCAACTCAATCAGAGAATAGAATTTGTGCCTTATGTTTACATTTCAATTTCAATTGAAAATTCCTTTTTGTTGCAGTTAGCATTTTAGTTCATATTTCTTATTGTTATGTACACATTTTATATAGCTTTAAGATCTACTAGAAATTACTGTATCCATAATTTAATAAAACTTTTTTGGTAATAATTAGGTATTTTGCACAATCATAATGTTTTATACTGATCTTTGAAAGTAGTACTTGGATGACATAAGTAACCATCCTTTCTTACTGCTATTATAATCTAATGTCTAATAAATAAGGAGGTAACATTTGCAGGACTTTAGCAAATACTGTGCACATGAATGGAGGAAGGTAAACTAACGATAATTTTTTGTTGTTCAAGGTTGGCTGGGGAGTTTTTAAAGACGAATTATTTGTTTGTTGCTGTTGGACAAGTGGGTGGAGCATGTAGAGATGTTCAGCAGACTGTTCTCCAAGTTGGCCAGTACTCAAAAAGAGAAAAACTTGTTGAAATTCTACAAAGCATAGGTATCTTTACATTGATTTAATTATTTTTGTCATGATTTTGATTTTAAAAAATTACTGCTTTTTAAAAATCACTTTAATGTTTCCTTTTCCTCTAGAGCTCTTGTATAAAGGATTTTACGTTTTTTTAACTGTGTAAATGGTATAAACATACAGTCCTTTCTCCTCCATAAAAGTTGAATATAGGAAGGATTCAGACTTAGTTTAACACAGTCTGATTTAAAACTGACAGCATAAGCATATGAATTTTTTGTTTTTGAGAACTGGAAAGGGTTAGTAGTAACACATGTTTATCACTCTGTAACTCTGTCAAAAATGAGCTCTTCAAGCTGCGTGTGTGCCTGCAATCCCAGCACTAGGGAGGCTGAGGCAGGAGGATCACAAGTTCAGGGCCAGCCTGGACCACGTAGTTCTAGACTATCTTGGACTACATGGTGAGACCCTGTCTCAAAAACAAAAACAGGAAACTCTTCTTGATTTTGTGTTTCCAGTTCTCATTTCTTGCTTTCTAAGGCTTCCCATATGCATAGATTCAAAGAATTTCAGAACTGGAAGGGATTTTAGATCTAATTCTGTCCTTCATAATACCTATGAGAAATATTTTTTTCTTCTCTCTAGAACTTTTCAATTTTAAAGAAAGTAGTCTCTTTTTGTTTACTTGAGATAGCTTTGAGATTGGAAATAATTTCTCATATGGTCATTTTGATACTTTTGTTACCTCCCATCCTAGGTCTATTTACGTGCTATACATTTTCCCCATCCACAATCCCCTGCTTTAGTAATTCTGTTTGAATGTCTGGGACAGAGGAATGAGGCAGGAGATCAGTTCTAGTATTGAGCAAGAAGAAAAACTAGGAAGGTGATTTAGAAAGCGCTCAAAGGCTTCCTGCCTTCAGTGGTGTCTCACTGTGTTGCTTAGCCTGGTCTGTCCTTCCTGCCTTCAAGTGATCCTTCTACCTTAGTCTCCTGATTGCTGGAACTGTAGGTGTGTACCATCACACCTGGCTTAAAAATCTTCCTAAAACCGAGTACTCATTTTGAGTTTGAGCTGAGTGACTTCATCAGATGTTTCATAACATATACTAATAGCATATAAAAATAATAGCTGTGGGCCACATACTGTTGTAATTGTGTTGACTTTTCTCAAAGCAACCTTTTTAGGTAGGTTTTTTTGTCATTATCCCCATTTTAGTGATAAGGAAACTGAAATAGGTCCAGTGGCTTTCCCAGTAAAAACTGAAGCTCTACATGTATATGCTTTTGCTGAAGTTAGAACATATTTCTAGTGTAAAAATATTAATACATGAACTTGTGGAACAAAGTTTATTTCAGAAATGATACAAGGAGGGGGGAGTTTTTTAGAACTAGTTTGCTATGGTGAAAAAGTTAGTGTATATGAGCACTATTTAAATTGCTAAATTTTGTTAATTTACGATTTGTTCTTTAACTTTTTTGCATAGAATATTCATTTGGTAACTCCTCACGTTTTACATATCTTTGTTCATGTAATTCATGTCCTCTGCTCTTCCACTGAATTTTTCTAACTTTGATTTTTTTCTTAAAATGCATAGGATTCATTATTTCAGAGAAGTATAGTCAGATGCCTTTTTTTTTTTTTAAATAACTTTAGCTTTAAGTCAGCAAGGATCAAAGATTTTATTGAGCTCTTTAATTATTAAAGGAACCAGTAAGATACTATGACTACTTCAGAGGAAAATTCAAAGGATGCACACATTTATGGATTATTAGGAATGCTACATATAGCTTGCATATATAGATGTAAAACTGATCAATATATACAAGGCAATAATCAGTTACATTTGGGGAGAAAACAAGGCATAGGTAACCCCAAAGAATGTGCTTATTTAAAAATCCTCCATAGTCTTTCCTGACAGCTTTGATCCACCTCATGTTGAAAATAATCTGAGGCTTATCTTGATCACAGAAAAAGATTGATCTTACTATACTTGTCTTGCTTATTCTCACCAGTGCAGCAGTTGCAAATGTAGAGCTATATAGTATTGAACAATTGCTAAAATCACAAAATTAACTCTTGTCTGGATGTTTCCAGAAGGAATCTTAGAATGAACTTTTAAAAGCCTCTCTTCTTGAGGGGGTGGGAGTGGGTGTGGTTGTAGTATTGTGTATGTACCTAGAATGTCCAAGGCCTGGGTTTAATCTCTAGTACCACAAAGGAAAACAAAAAACCCTCTATTTTTTTGCTATCTGAAGAATTAGAAATTAAGTCTTAGAGTTTCTGCCAGATTTCATCTGCAGTACCTAGAAATACGGGCATTTCATCTGCAATACCTAGAAATATGAGCAAATTCCTCTCTTCTGAAGGTCTCACAGATTTCCTAAAGTTATTGACGTATCAGGAAATAGCCTTTCACAAACACCAGGCCATTTTATCTGGGAAAGCTTGTAGGCATTGATTCCATATAGAAAGCAAACCTTTGTTCCTTAAAAGTATCTGGTGCAGCTGGGCATCTGTGGCTCATGCCTGTGATCTTAACTACTAAGGAGGTAGAGATCAGGAGGATCATGGTTTGAAACCAGCCTGGGCAAATAGTTCACGAGACCCTATCTCTAAAAAAAAACCATTACCGAAAAGGGCTGATGGAATAGCTCAAGGTGTAGGTCCTGAGTTTGAAACCCCAGACTGCAAAGAAGAAGAAGAAGAAAAAAGTATCTGGTGGTCGTAGCTACCAAGCTGTTTTCAAATATGAATTCCAGGTAAGGTTTAATCTCATTGAGCCAATTACATTCTTGTTACAAGAGGAAGGACAGATTCACATTGAACTGATAGAGATAACTAAACTTCCTTGAAAAGTAAGGAAACTTAGTAAGTTTCTGAGTTTGAGTTGGGTGTAATGTCAGTCAGAAGTGAGCTCAGGCCAAGTATGGTGGTTCACATCTGTAATCCCAGGTACTTGGGAGGCAGAGGTAGAAGGATAGCAGTCCAAGGTTGACTAGGCAAAAGTACAAGACTTTATCTTAAAAACAAACTAAAGCAAAAATGGATAGGGACGTTGCTTAAGTGTTAGAGTGCCTGCCTAGGCAAGCAGGAAGCCCTGGGTTCAAACCCAAGTTTGCCCACCCCTCCAAAAAAAGGAAGTAAGATCAGCTACTACTTAAAAATACTGCATTTTAGTTTACAAAATCAGAAAACAGACATTAAAATCAAACATTGAGCACATAAAGATTTCATCTGTCAGTTTAGTCAGTCCTTACATAGTTCTCTTTCATTGAATCTGTTAGAAATCTATTTCATGATTCTGTCTGTTTTTGGACTATTTCTAGAAATCTTAATCAGTAATATAGTCTAAAAGTTGTTAAAGCAATATCAACTTGGAACCTTTTACCCAAGGCTGTTTTTGAAATATCAGTAGTTTGATATTTTTTCACAAGGCTTGGATTCCTTGTTTGTTAAGATAGTTATCATCTGTAGCTTAAAACACCACCTTGGGGCAAGCAGCAAAAGAAAACCAAACTGTAGATGACAGAGAATTAACAACTGTGGGTTAATTTATTATTGGTAATTGTTAAATGTGGAAAATCTGATGAAGATTCATAATAAGAATAATGCTACTGATAATTTTTTCTCTGAAATGCAAAATAAAGGTAAGCTGTTTCAAAAATTACAGAAAATTTCAAAGAAGTACATTAGACTTTTGAAAATGGGTAGACATAATTTTTATACCAGTAATGTCAAGTAAATAGATTCAGTAATTGTAGATTAGGGTTCAGATGTCTATATTTAAAAAAAAAATGCCATGTGTAATTCTGATCTACATTCCTAGTTGAACCATTGGTCTGGAAGGTGCTAGATTCAAATTAGGAAAGAAGTAAGGTTATAGCCAAATGAACATCTTAGTAAGTGAAATTCTCAAGAGTTAAAATGTCTATAATAAAAATGCTTAGGGATTGTCAGTATTTATGAATTTAAAGGGAGTACCTATCAAAATGTTTTGAGAGCCACCATATTAAGTAAAAAACCTTTTTTCCCTTGTAAAACAAAAGCACATGTTATTTGTATTCTTCTGTGACAAGAAAATATACTATTTTTCATAGTATATTTGTAATCACTTTTGTTAATTATAACGTTTAACCAAAGTAACCTCTGTTTCATAGAGGAAACTAGGAATAATGGTAGACTATTGAGAGGTGTCATACTCTCAAGCATTGTCTGTTGTTTTAAGTTATCCTAAAACTCTGAAACTCATCTTCAAGGTGACATACTTCAAGATAGGAATACTGTGGTTTTTGTTTTTGGTGCTGGAGATTGAATCCAGGGCCTTATGCATGCTAGGCAAGTGCTCTACCCCTGAGCTACATTCCAGCCTGCAAAATAGAAATACTTAATGACTTTATTTAGTTGAGTGCAGATTTACATGTTCATACTCTTAAACATTATGGAGGGATGATTTTTAGCTTACTTGACTTGCAGACTTCTTTAAGAAAAACAAACCCAAGAATAAGATACATGATTGTATGAGACTTAACATTGATAAATAGGAAGCATAGGGATTGTTTACTGTTTTTAAAAAACAGTGATTTAGTTTATTCACTAAATACTTCAATTATTTATATAAACTTGGATTCTTGAAATGTTTCTTAGTTCCTGTAAAGTGTATTCCAAAGTTTAATACAGTTAAAATATTCAAGTTTATTTGGGGGCAATTTTAGGAAATTATAGAAACCAAACAGAATAAAGCTTCTTTAAGAGACTTTTAACTCCAATAGGACGTTAAAATAATGATTTCACAGTGATAGGAAGTAAAGTCCTTTCTGAATTTCACATAGAGAGCTTACAGCTTCAGTTACTCTACTTCAGCCAAAGCCAAGAGTGAACATAGAAATACAAAAAATTAAAATCTTTCCACCAGTTAGGCATTGGTAGCTCATGCCTGTAATCCTAGCTGCTTAGGAGGCAGACATCAGGAGGATCATGGTTTGAAGCCAGCCTGGGCGAATAGTTCTAGAGACCCTTTCTCAAAAATACCCAACACAAGAAGGGCTGGTAGAGTGGCTCAAGTGGTAGAGTGCCTGCTTAGCAAGCTTGAGGACCTGAGTTCAAACCCTAGTACTGCAAAAAATAAAGAAAAGAAACATAATAGCAATTAAAAAAATCTAGCCACCAAAGAATAATTCTTAGATTGGCCCTTTCCCTTTTTCCTTCTCTCCCTTCCCCTTTTCTCCCTTTTCAGAAAAGTGTTTCACCATATATCTCAGACTGGCCTTGAATTCACAGTGTAGCCCAGACTAGCCTCAAACACAAAATCCTCCTGCCTCAACCTCCCAGTGCTGGGATTATAGGTGTGCATTTGGCCTTCTTAGCTCACAGTGAACAAATAGTTAAAGAAATAGACTTTAAAAAAGGGATCCTCTCTGTTTCTTACCTAAGAGAGAATGGATAACTACAATTCATTAATCTACTTAGAGAGATCACCAGATGGTCTCATCATTGTTGCCACTAAAGGGAAATAATTTATTATCTGAACTAGAACAAGTACAAAATCAATAGAGAGGAAGAAACTAGAGAAATAGGGTCAGCAGAGTTAAATTTTTATTACCACTTGAGATTAAAGTGAGAACCAAGAAAGGTGAGACCAGGGCTTAAGCTGCACAGCACTGCTACGTATCTGGCTCTGTCATATGAATCTGTTTTGCACTGGGTATCTTGAATGACTTCTAAAACTTTTGAAAGATAATTTTTGATAAAATCATTGCTCTTATATAAATATAAAATGACCATATCTCAAAGATTTAACTCATTTACTATCATGGGAACAGGCTGATTTCTCTTTAATTGCCTAATAGATATGAAACATAAATATCACCTTTATTGTTATAGCCTTCCCATATCAAACACTGTTAGCTCTATTCTTCTACTTGCTCAGGCACAAAATCTTGGAGTTACCCTTAGTGTCTTTCTTTAATGGCACATCTGCTGTGTTAGGAAAATACTCTTAGTTTTATACCATCAAAATATATTTAGAAGGCTGGCACTACCCCACTTTTCTCATTACTATTCCTTACATGTATGCACCAGGCATATTCTGCTCATTGCCTTTGTACTTTCTGTTACCTCTGTTCGTAATGTACAGGCCACAAAATCCCTTCTCCCCCATGCTATTAGGGTTTGAACTCAGGGCCTTGTACTTGTCAGCAGGTAGGTACTCTACCACTTGAGCCATGCCCCCAGCCCTTTTTGCTCTGGTTATGCCCAGGCTGGCCTGGACCATGACCCTTCTGTTTATGCTTTCTTCATAGCTGGAATGACAGGTATGTGCCCAGGTAAAAACCTTGGTGAGCCACTGTACCCCCACTTTTGTTTTTTGACCACAAGAATGGTAATGTCTCATGTTCTTTTCTCTGCCTTGTAATGCTCTTTCTCTAGGTGTCTTCACACTTCACTATCTGTATTTCTATTTCTACTCAGATGCCATCTATTCTAATTAAAGTAAACTTCTATATATCTCGATCCTGCTGAGTTTTTTGTTTTTAGGACTTAACACATACAATATTTACTGTTTGCCTCCTTACAGTGTTATGAGGGGCTTTGTTTCTGTATTCTCAACACCTAGAATAGTGGATGGCATCTAGTAGGTGACTTAATTAAATTTGTTGAGTAAATGAATGAATAAGTGAGCCGATGGGAAAGTGGTTATGAACAGTAATACATTCTTCCTTCCATTGAGGCTATAAATTAGCTTTTTTTCCTTGACATTTTATAGAGAAGTTCCCTTGTGTGAAAAAACTTCTGGCCCATGTATGCATTTCTACCAGTTAACTACTTTAACAAGTAAATTTTAATGAGTTAAGATCCTGGGGTAAGGATGTCAGTTAACTTTATGAAAGATGTTTTGGGAATGAAGGATTTTGAATTAAAAGATAATGTTAGATTAGAGTTTAATAGCCCTGGGTCAGATGTCACTATAATAAACACCTTGTTGCAATCAAGGCAGAATGAAAGATTGAATTATCTTTGAAATGCAAAAGCATTTATGGGGAAGGAAATGGGGGTGGAGGGTGGGCAAAGAGGAATGAGGCAAATTTGAAACTACAAAGAGTTGACAGGCAGTTATCATTTACATAAGTATGTGACTTGAGTTGGTCTAGAAGGAGAAAAGGAAATATAATGTTTTTAAGCCCTGAACTCTAGAACAGTCCTTGTCTCTTTATCTTTGACATTCATCCATTGAGGAAACATTTGACTCCCAACTATGTACCAGGCCTGGCTCTGGGTGCTGGTAGTATAGTGGTAGATGAAACAAAGTTTCCTCCTCTAACATGCTCCTTTTTTCTTTTCCTAATTTTGTAGTTTGAATGCTAATAATTTAATTGTTTTGTAGGTGATGAAAGGACTATGGTGTTTGTTGAAACTAAGAAAAAAGCAGATTTTATTGCAACTTTTCTTTGTCAAGAAAAAATATCAACTACAAGTATTCATGGGTTAGTAAATTAATGATTTCCTAGTTGGAGAATGACTTTTGTTCAGCATTTAAAAAACAGTATTATATGTGGTCATGCACCACACAATGTTTTGGTCAGTGACAGACTGCATATATGACAGTGGGTCCTCTAGGATTATATTACCTCATGATGCTATAGCTGTCTTAGTTTGTATGTGTGTACTCTTTGACGCTTGCACAGCAGTGAAGTAGCTGTGCAACATTTCTTAGAACATATCCCCATAGTTAAGCATTGCATGACTGCTATAAATAACATAACAGTCCTGGGATCAAGGTTCAGAATTCTCTCAAAAACTAAGCTGCTAAATTTTTTTCTTTTCTTCCTTGCACCAGAAAAATGCAGTAATACCCAGAAGGGCTGTACAGTTTTTCTTCATTTATATTCTTAGTTTTTATAGGAACCAAGTGGTGGGGATAAGCAAGTTAAAGGTCTGTCTTAGTCTCCTCATCTTGAGAGTGGGAACTTCTGAAGAGATTTCACTTAAGGATCTGTAGGTCTTATAATATCTGAATCTGTGTTTTTCCTCTGTTTAATCTACTCTTCCTGATGCCTGACATTTTTTTATTGAGTGCTTAAAAATGTCATACCAACACATCTATTAGTACTCTGAATATGTGTAATTTTGAATTTGTACCTTAAAAACTTTTTTGCGGGGAGGGGTAGCACTTGGGTTTGAACTCAGGGCCTCACAGTCTTAAGCTTGAGCCATTCCACCAACCCTAAAAACTAGTTGAGCAAGCATTCTAACCAACTAGTTCTACATTTTTTGTCAAGACTGGAAGGTATAGATTATTAATAGTAGGATTTGACCTTTGTCATACTTGAGCTTATGTTCATTCTGATTCTCAGCTGTTACCTTTGACCTCAACTGCAAATGGAGGTAATTCCAACTCAAGAATATTGTGAGGATAAAATAGTGACTTGGAAAGGATTAATGTAGTACCTAATAATGTAGGAAATAGACATAGTATTATATTCTGCTACTGACGATTAAAAGTAAGTTGAATATTGAACTTAAACTCTTATTAGGATCACTCTTAAAATCATTTCCTTTTCTTTCAAGTGATCGGGAACAGAGAGAGAGAGAGCAAGCTCTTGGAGATTTTCGCTGTGGAAAATGCCCAGTTCTTGTTGCTACTTCAGTAGCTGCCAGAGGGCTGGATATTGAAAATGTTCAGCATGTTATTAATTTTGATCTTCCTTCTACCATTGATGAATATGTTCATCGAATTGGACGTACTGGGCGTTGTGGGAATACTGGTAGAGCTATTTCTTTTTTTGATCCTGAATCAGATAATCATTTAGCACAGCCTCTAGTGAAAGTACTGACAGATGTAAGTAACTTTAAAAATTTTTAAATGTAATGGATAGTGTCCATTCTTTATTGTTGTGACATTTTATGCATGTGTATAAAAAGTGAACTTTTCTAGTCTTTGAGACTTTTTGTTGCATTGAGGTTAATTTTTTTTTTTAAAGGCTCAGCAGGATGTTCCTGCATGGTTGGAGGAAATTGCCTTCAGTACATATGTTCCTGGCTTCAGTGGTAGTACAAGAGGGAATGTGTTTGCATCAGTTGATACTAGAAAGGTTAGTTTTGAAGGGAAAACTTAAGATGAAACCAGGTGCATTCAGGGTGTTGTGGCTATAGACTTGAAGGGAAATTCAAAACTTGATTCCAATTGCTCTTTGAAAATGTTGTGCTTGATACTGTGAAGTAACTATAACACTCATTAATTTATCTAAAGTTTCATGCCTAGAAGGCAGCAACTTTATTTCTTTAAAATTTTCTGAGCACACATATTTGGGGGTTTTAAAAGTGTGGAATTCCTCAACTCCCAATTTTGCTGGCATCTTAAATTTAATTTGGGATCATCTAAGCTTTCTACTGGAATTTTGAGCACATAATCAAGACAAAATGCTGAGATGTGGGGCTGCAAGTCTTTCTGATATGTCAGTTTTTATACAGTATATCTTTAATATAGAAAATGAGCTTGCTAATTAAATATTTATGCTTATTTATTGAAATATAACACAGTAAGTTTTCCTCTTTCCAAAAATAGTGCCTTAAAAATCTTTGTCTTGGTTATTTTGTGCAATGTAGATTTCCTATTTTGATACGGGCATATTAAAAATTGAATCAGATTTAGTGAGAATGAAGGTCTTTATGTATGGGCCAGACAAGGTAGAAAGCTTGAGTCCCTGCTGTTAGTCTGGGAAATGTAACTTTAAACCTGTCATAACCTAAACATTTCTTTCTTTCTTTTCTTAAAGAATTTCCAGGGCAAGAGCACTTTGAATACAGCAAGTTTTTCTTCTTCACAAACTCCCAATCCAGTAGATGATGAATCGTGGGATTAAATAATAATTAAAAATATGTTTCAAGTCTGTGGTACAGTTTTGATGCAGAGAAGAAAATAGTTTTTATTTTTAAATTTTTAACAGAAGCATGAATGAAACCTGACATTCTTGTATTTCCTGTCCTTCTGTTTTCATTCCCACACTTAAAAAAACTTCGTTGACTAGTTGTGTGAAATGCTAAAAGTTATAACATTGTAGTTACTGATACAAATGGTGTCAACTGGAAATATTAAAGCATTCTAAATGTCTTATTTCTAGTATATTCTTCAGAGGGTTTAGACATGTTTCATGTCTAATAAGTACGCTGCTTATTGATGCTATAAAATAAGCAATAGGATATGATGGATGTACTTTTGGTTAAAAATTATTGGGTCTCATTTCTACTTAAGTCTTTAAAGCAGTTGTGATACAATATGATAGCATACTTTTCATGAAACAAACAGTGGAAGACTAAAGCCTTTCAAGGCGACTTTGATTTTTAGATCATCAGACATGTGATGAAAATGGTTAAATTCGCAATGTGAGCACTGTATTCAGTGGTACAACAAATGTTTGTTTGTTTGTTTGTTTTTTTAAATAACATACAGACTTTCCTGGGAAGTAAAAAGTGAAACACATATCCCTATGTTTCCCAACAGCACTTATTTTTCTTTGTTATAACAGTTCTCAACTGTTAAAGTTTGAAGTTTTATTTTATTGAATCTAGTAAAACCAATGTAATGAACAAAAATCTTACCAAAACTAAATATTAATGTATAATATACATTAATACAGAGATACGGTAATTAGTATTAGAATTCAAGCTCACTGATTATCAACAAAAACAGTGCTGTTCACTCTTGTCATAATTTTTTATTAATATTTTATGATTAATGAGGGGAAAAACCCTGTCTTTTTTATTCACCATTATATATCTTGAACTTACTATGCCTAGAACATGAGAAGTTCTTAGTAGTTGTTAAATGAATGAACCCAAACATTAAGACATAAAACAAGTGAGGTGAGGTGTAAATATTGTTGAAATAAAAATGATCAGTTTTGAGTGTTACTGTTTGTCTAAACCAAAGTGACATGTCCCCATTGTGTATCTTATTATAGGAATTTAGTTAATAAATGAGGCATCACAAATGAAAAAGGAAAGTGTGTTCAATAGGTAGTATTAGGAAGATTGGTTAGATGCCTACCCCATGTCATATTCCACATTCCATGTGATCTATAAAAATTCGAACTATAAAATATGGAGTTAAAAAACTTTGAGGATGAAGGTTGACTTTATAAGGGCAGAAATCATAAAACAATGAACAGATTTGATCAAAAGGGATTAGTTGCTTACATAAAAAGAATGGAAAGTAGACCAGGAAAAATATTGTGACCACAGTTTATTATCAGTATGTAGTTCTTTATATGTGAGTATATAGGTTAATGCACAGAGAACATAAACAGGCAACTTAAAAAGGAAAGTTCAACTAATAAAAATTGGAAATATTTCACTGTGTAATCTCATTTCTGGAAAAGACTGATGTTTGTATTGTGATGTCTGTGTGTATTTTCTAACTTGTTTATAAAGAACATTCTTATTTTTTATTTACTCAGACCTTCTTGGCCATAGCTGTCCCCCCCTTACTGCTTTTTAAAAGTTTTTGATTTTGTGTAATTTGTCAAATTACTATAGCATTGCTATAAATCAAATATAAGAACAGAAAGAAAATCATACATAATCCTACCATTACAGACCAACTGTAAATACCCCTAAGTTCAGTTACTCTCTCACTTGTCTTGTAGGTATAGTTTAGAATGGCTTCTTTAAAAATAATCAAAATAAGAGCTATCTCTGTGATTAGAAAATAAAATTCTATGTGTTTATAATAGAAAGCAGTCTTCTGCCCTTTTACCAAATTGTCATCCCACATCAACTACCTTTACCCATTTCTGGTTGTTGCCACCATATAGACATTTTTGTGTGCCATATTTAGACATTTACTAACTTTGATAGGTGAAGATTTAACTTTTCTGCTTAACTCACCATGGAAGTGTAATTTGTGAGATGTAAAAGGTAGCCTTTTCTTTCCCTGTTCCTCTTTCTTCATTATGATGTGAAAGACTCATTTCCAAAGTTAACATTTGCATTCTATGCTATAACCAGAACGTCTCCCTTGTTATATCTAAGATTGATTCTAAAATCAAAGCACAACAGCCAGTGTTTACATAATAGCTAATGTTCACTGCATGGCCCAGTTTAGTCTTGATTATCTTTAACTATTATTCTGATTTTATGACCTGTGTATCTGCAAGGAGAAAAATTATAATGGTCAGGGCCAAATGAAAATTGCTCAAAAATACTCCACATGCCTTTTTCTTTAAATATAGATCATAAATGAGCAACTTATTTACCCTGAAATGTGTCCTCTTTCTTATTTGGAAAGGAGAAATAAGCCTTTTTCATCATGGTGTTTTGCCTTTCTAGGTTCAAATTTTCCTTAAAAATTTACAAAAGGGATTGCTCTTCAGTTTTATAATGATGAATAACAGGACTCTTAATTTTAGGGAGTAGAGTGCTTTGAAGATTATCTTTTATTGGGGGAGACCTATGAGTGCTTTTCTTAATTTCCCCTTTTTTACTGTCCTTTTGGAGCTTCTTTTGGATTCCAAAACTATTGAATTAATCCCCTATATCCTATCTTTGTAAAAAAAAAAAAAATTTTTTTTTTTTTTTTGCTGTTCTGGTGAAATTTTTACTGTCTGTTCTTCTTAGCAATTACTTTTAATATCCAAGATCTTTATTTTTCTCCCCAAATGTTGCTTGAATCTTCTTTATTAGTACTACTTGTAAAAATATTTTACAGAACTCAGGCTAACTTTAATCAAATTCAGTAATTGTCCCATTTTTGTACCTTTTCTCTCTTTATACTCTAATTTCCATTCATTTATGTTCAAAGCCTGCTTTTGAGAGTAGGGCGTCTGATAGTTAATTTTTCTGCCTTGAATCCTTTGCATTTTAATGGGGGGGGGGCGGTGTGAAAGACTAATCCAGGCTAGCTCAAAACGTGGAGTAGCAAGCAGCTGCACAAGTGAGGGCTTGACAGTAATACGATGTAGAAGGACAGGGTGAGGGGCGGTCCTGACTTGACGTAAGTGGTTATCCGCCTACTCTGCACCGCCCTGGGGACTTGGGACCAAGTGGAATGGTTTTCCTGGTCAGCCTTGGTAACATTTCTATATAGAGGAGCAGTATTGAGTGAATTTGTCCCTTCCTCCTCTCATAGCTTCATTTTTAGTAACGTCTCTATTGGTCCCCTTATAGGGGCGAAGGCAACTTTTCATCGTTGGGTGCACCTCCCCATGCCGTGCCTCCCCCCGCCCCAGCTAAACTATATTCCCAGTCCCGCCTTCATAAAATCCAAATGTATTGATGAGGTCCCTAGTTAGCTTTTGAAGCTTCTTCCAAAGGTGCTAGCGGCTGCTAACGCTCTTGAGATTCCTCAGCTCTGCGACGAACCACGTCCCCAGCATCTCCTTGTAGAAATTAGTCCAGTGTGGAGTCGGTGCCTCAAGGCTGGGCCGGGAGAGCGCAGCCAGGGACAGTCCGCCTGGAGCAGCCTGGCTGCAGCTATGGAGCCAGCGCGGAGCCGCCGCCGTCTGTCCCCAGCGCGCAGAGCGGCCGTCTAGGGGTGGCTCTGAGCCGGTGGTCTCCGTTCCCCCAGCCCCGCGGACGGGAGCCTTCTTGGGGCGGAGCGGGAGGTCGGCGCCGTGGGCCCTGGGGGACTGAACTGAGCAGCAGTGAAGGGATCCGGACACGCAGCCAGGAGCTTGGGCTGGCCGCATCCAGGTTAGTGGCGTTATGATAGGGAGGGGTGGCTGAACTGGCACGGGGTTTTTTGTAGGGCTCTCGCTTTAGAATTGAAGCTCCTAGTCTTTAGATCATGTAAATTGCACACATGTTTTCGTAAAACTTCGGGATTTGCCAGGCGAATGCTTGTACTTGGGGAGGCTGAGATTGGGAGGATCGCGGTTTGAGGCCAGCTTCAGCGAGTTCAGCAGACCCCAGTCTCCAAAATAACCAGAGCAAAATGGACTGGAGGTGTGGCTCGAGCGGTACAGTGCCTGCTTTGGGGTTCAAACTCCAGTCCCGCCAACAAATAAAAATTTCGAGATTTATCAATCACTCAGAAAACCATTAACAGATCCCCCCTCCGGAAAAAATTCCACGAACTGCGGATTTAAGACCCCTTAAGAGAGCGGGTCCCGCAAGGAATGCCATATTCAGAGGACAAGGAACAGCGTTAGCATGTGGAAACACTGATGCTGATTATTGAAGGGAGATTTGCCTCCGAGTTTGGGGGTTGGTGACTAAGATAAGTTCCTTAGTCCTTTACGAAAATGATTATTTTGCTATAATTTAGGGGTTGATTATCGAATCGTCACAGTAGTACATCAGTTAATTTACTTTGGGGAATTCCTCAAAGAATTTTGTCTCCATCTGTTAGGGTTTTCTGGATTAGGAGATTCGGGGACAAAAACCGAAACACCTTTTGTCTCCTAAACATAAGAATTTATTCCAAAGTCCTGAATATATCTACTTTAATTTGATTTCCTTTTTTTTTTATTTGTGGGAGATTTAAAAATTCTCAACAGAGGTGCTCACTTCAGCAGCACGTGTACTAAAATTGGAACAATACAGAGAAGGTTAGCATGGCCCCTGTGCAAGGATGACATGCAAATTCGTGAAGCATTGCATATAAAAAATTCTCAAGAGACACCAAAACATATTAATAATTCAAAGTAATTGCTTAAATAAATTGTGTCTGTGTAGGAACAAGGCACAGCGAAGCCCACTAAAAGCTGCTGAACAATACGGGGTGGGGGGAAGGGTAAGGAAGAGTAATAGAGGGAGTTAGACTGATTAAAGTACAGTATATTTCGCAGGTGAAATATCAAGGCAAAATCCTTTTGCACAATGAACAGACACTTTAACAAGGAAGGACAGGAACATAAGACAGGTG